CTATAGACGTGGAGTCCAGATGGAAGCAGATACCAGGACCTACAGATACCAGGACCTACAGGTCTACAGATACCAGGACCTACAGGTCCTGATATCTGGTCCTACCGGCTCATTCTGGGTCCCTCAGACTCATTCTGGGTCCTACAGCCTCATTCTGGGTCCTACAGGCTCATTCTAGGTTCTACAGACTCATTCTGGGTCCTACAGGCTCATTCTGGGTGGCATTTCGGAACCTTTGAGGCTTTTCAGCCTTTCTGTTCTTTTGTGTGGAGGACGCTAAAGTCCTGGAGTCCAGATGGAGTCAGATACCAGGACCTACAGGCTCATACTGGGTCCTACAGGCTCATTCTGGGTTCTACAGGCTCATTCTGGGTCTACAGCCTCATTCTGGGTCCTACAGATTCATTCTGGGTCCTACAGACTCATTCTGGGTCCTACAGGCTCATTCTAGGTCCTACAGATTCATTCTGGGTCCTACAGGCTCATTCTGGGTCCCTCAGACTCATTCTGGGTCCTACAGCCTCATTCTGGGTCCTACAGGCTCATTCTAGGTTCTACAGACTCATTCTGGGTCCTACAGGCTCATTCTGGGTGGCATTTCGGAACCTTTGAGGCTTTTCAGCCTTTCTGTTCTTTTGTGTGGAGGACGCTAAAGTCCTGGAGTCCAGATGGAGTCAGATACCAGGACCTACAGGCTCATACTGGGTCCTACAGGCTCATTCTAGGTCCTACAGGCTCATTCTGGGTCCTACAGATTCATTCTGGGTCCTACAGGCTCATTCTGGGTCCTACAGGCTCATTCTAGGTCCTACAGGCTCATTCTGGGTCCTACAGATTCATTCTGGGTCCTACAGACTCATTCTGGGTCCTACAGACTCATTCTGGGTTGCATCTCGGAGCCTTTGAGGCTTTTCTGCCTTTCTGTTCTTTTGCGTGGAGGTTTCTGAAGACCTGGAGTCCAGATGGAGTCAGATACCAGGAGACAACTTCGCCTTAGACATTTAATAAACAGTTTTGGGGGGTTTAGTCTGAGAGGGGGGGCCACGTTTATCTGGGGGGTCCAGGCCCTCTCGGGCCCCTTTGGGCCCGGCCCTGTGCACATCCAGCCTGCTCAGCGCGCTCCCTCTCAGCTCCTTTCCTTTGGAAGCAGAGCTGAATGGGGTTAGCTCTCCGAAGGCCCATGAAGGCTTGAGGAGGAGCGCAGGCCAAGGTGACCCACTTACCGGGAAAAAAAAGCCTTTCCCTTCCCCTCCCTTCATCCCTCACTCCTGCACTCCATTTTCCCTTTTTAGTTTCCCTCCATGTGGCCTTACCCCCCCCCCCCCCCCCCCCTTCCTCAAGACCACTCAGCAGAAAGCTTGAAGTTTGACCTTGTGCAGAAAAGTAATTTATCTCTCCCT